TCAGGTTTTCCCTTAGGTCTGTTAGCATTGCTTTATCTTTTGGTGCTTCCTGGTTGGGTGCATATATATTGATAAGTATTGTGTCTTGATGCCTATGTCTTCATTGTAATGCCTATGTTTGATCTCTAATAACCTTTTTACCTTGAAATCTGTTTTGTTTGATATAAATACAGCTTCACCCACTTTTCTCTGGATACCATTGCTTGGAGTATCATCTTCCACCCCTTCACTTTGAGCCTGTGTTTGTATTTGTAGCTGAGATGTGTCTCCTGAAGGCAGCATAAAGTTGGGTCCTGTTTTTTAATCCATCCTGCTACTCTGTGCCTTTTGATTGGGTGTTCAGTGCATTTACACTTAGGATGATTACTGATACATGAGAACTTAACTGCAGCCACTTTATCTTTTGTCTTCTGGTTGCTGTGTTATCGCCATTGTTTCTTTCCCCTTGTGTTTCTGTCTGCTATTTTAGCTTGGTGGTTTTCTATAATTTTTTTCCCTCCATTTTCTTTTATGTTATGTATCTCAGCTCTAGATTTTTGTTTTGTGGTTACTGTTAGGTTTATGTAAAATAAGTTTCATACATACAGTAGTTCTTTTTCTTCTGATTGTGTCTTCACTTACCTGTGCAAGTTCAGTCATCCCCCCTTTATGTTTTTGTTGTCACAAACATCCCTTTTTATGATGTGTTCATTTCCAAATTGCAGAAGTTATAGTCTCTTTTTAAAATATTTTTCCCCTTTAACCTTTATAATTGTTTAATACCAAATTCTAAAACAGAGTTGCAATTTCTTGCTTCTGTCTGTCCATTTTTCTCCTTACTCAGAAGTTGTTGTGCCCTGCCAGTTTTGCTCAGTGGTTAGAGTGTCGGCCCTCAGACTGAAGGGTCTTGGGTTCAAGTTTGGTCAAGGGCATATACCTCAGTTGCAGGCTCAATCCCTGGCCCAGGTTGAGGCATGTGCATGAGGCAACCAATCTATGTGTCTCTCACATCGATGTTTCTCTCTTTCTCTCCCCTCCCTTCCACTCTCTCTGAAAAGCAATGGAAAAAATATCCTTGTGTGAGGATTTAAAAAAAAATGGTTTTTTAATTGATTGATTTTAGAAAGGAAGGGGGGGCAGGGGAGGTAGGGAGAAACATTGATTTGTTCCACTTATTTATATGCATTCATTGGCTGACTCTCATATGTGCCCTGACCGGGGATTGAACCCGCAGTCATGGTGTATCAAGGTGACGCTCTAACCAACTGAGCTACCCTGCCAGGGCTGAAAAGTTTTAATATACTTTTATCTTTTTGTTTCAGGTAGGAGAGTTCCTCTAAATATTTCTTATAATGCAGGTCTTGTGGTGGTACATTTCCCCAGCTTTTGTTTGTCTGAAAAACCTTTATTTCTCTTTCATATTAAGGCTACTTTGCTGGATATATACTTTGCTGGTGGTTTCTCCCTTTCAATATTTTAAATATTTCATTCTACTCTCTCCTGGGGTTTCCTTTATAGGTTACAATCTTTTTTCCCCTGGCTGCCTTGAGAATTTTTTTCTCAAGAATTCTTGAGAATTTTTTTCTCAAGAATTTTTTTTGTTGTGAACTTTTGACAGTTTTAATGTAAGCTGTCCTGGAGGTCTTTTTGCATTGACATAATTAGGTGTTCTGTTAGCTTCTTTTTTTCTGTATGATTCCATTTATATGAAATTCTAGAAGAGACAAAAGTAACCTATAGTGACAGGGAACAGGCCTCAGCTGGGGCCTCATCTGGGAGAGCATTTTGGAGGATGTCCTGTATTTTGATTGTGGTTATAATTACATGGGCATATATATTTGTCAGAACTCATTGAAATGTACTCTGAAAATGGGTGATTGTAACTGTATGCAAATTATACCTCAGTGAAGCTGATTTGTAAAAGGGGACAGGAAGAGGAGGCAGCAGGGACAGAATATTCACATTAAAGATAACATGAGCTCTGTCTGTCAGCTTTGAATTCGAGGGTCCAGCTCTGCGTACGTTTGCGGAGTTCTCAGTTACTTGTTTGAGTGAGTTCTCTGGTTCCTCCGGCTCCTCTCCTTTCTGGCAGACCCGTTCTCCTTGTTTCTCTTTCGGATGGAGTCAGATGGTCCTCCTAGGTTCTTTAAGTTTAAACTCTCAGTTCTCGTCTTCTACCTGAGTCACTTCTAGATTTGTCTCTCAACTCCCTAATTCTGTCTTCCATGTGCTCTGTTTCCAGTGCTTTATAATTCACTCTTCATCTCATTTATTCAGTTCTTCAGCTCCAGAATTTGGTTCTTTTTATAGTTTCAGCCTCTTTGGTAAAGTTCTTTTGTTGGTAGATTTTATTCCTCAGCTCATTAAACTGCCTTACTGAGTTTTTCCATACTGCAATCGTGAATTCTCTGTCATTTAAATTACAGTCTTCCCTGGCCTGCAGTTTGGCTTTTGGAGGTTTTTCTCTCTGAGCTACCTTGTTACCTTGGTCATTCATGGTGCTTGGTAGATTGTTCTTTGCCTGGGCACTCAAGGCAGCGAACTCTCTTTTTAGGTGCTGTGTTGCGCACAATTCAGCAGGTTGGTAAGTCTAGGTCTTTCGTTTGTTTTCCACTAGATGGTGCTATATTGTAAGCTTTCGTTTTCTCTTACCCCTTCCACTGGCACCTCCCAGATCTTGCTGGGGCAACGTTGCACCGGTCATGGAAAATGCCCTGTATTCCCCAAGGAGGTTGGTGTCCCCTCCATGTCTGGGTCACCTCGGTACCATCCCTGTGGTGGGATGTGGTGGGCTATGGGCTCCAGGCCTGTGAGTTCCTGGTGCAGCCTCTTTGTAACCAGTGCCATCTGAGGTGTCTCCAGACTAGGTTCCACCGTGATGGGTGGTAGGGTGGGTGGGGGAAGGCGGGTTCACAAGTCTGCCGCTTTGCTTTCTTGCTAGTAATGGTGACCACCAGTCTGCTGCAGCCACGCCGCCACTGTGCCATCACAGCCCTGTTTAGCTGCAGTTGGAGCCTGCCACTCAGGCAGGAATGTTCCTTCTGCCCATTCCACCCTTTGGGCTGCCCCGTGAGGGCTGCAGCCTGACTCCTTCCCCACTACTGTGCCACCTGGGCTATAGCAAGTGGGGGTTGGGGGGGTGGCAGTTTCAAGTGTCTGTGGCTGCCACACTGCTAGTGTGTCTTCGCCCTTGTCACTGGGTTTAGCTGCAATAGGTGCCACCCACTCAGGCTGCAGTGTTGCTTCTGCCCCTCTGCTGCTGTGCAAAAGGTACACCCGACTCCTTCCTGCTCTGGCATCAGCTGGGGCCATCATGGTGGGCGCCCCTGCATCTGCAGCCTCATCCCTGTCCTTCCCCATCCTGCCTCCCCTGCTCACTAGATACACCCACCATCAGATGTCTCAATGTGTGGAGGTCAGGTGTGTTTGTGTTGAGCAGGGAATCCTTTGTTGAGTTGTAGTTGTCCGACTTGTAACTATGATGCTGATGTCACTTTTTTTTTTTTAGCCCATAGATGTCCAGTTGCTGCAGCACCTGTTTTTTCCTCCATTGAATTAAATTTTGCGTATTTGTTGAAAATCATTTGGGCATATTGTATTTTGGGATTGTGTATTCTGTTCTATTGGTCTGTGCATCCATCCATCAGTACCCACTGTCATGTACTGAAGCTGTACACAGACACACCTTGTTTTATTGCGCTTCACAGGTGTTGCATGGCTTACAAATTAAGGCAAGACCCTCCACCAGCAAAAAGATTACAACTCACTTTATTGCAGTGGTTTGGAAGCAAACCTGCAATATCTCCAAGGTATGCCTGTAATGAGTTTTGAAATCTGGTAGACTCATTCCTCCCACTTTATTCTTTTTCAAAATTGTTTTAGCTATAAGTTTAATAATAACCTTGCCCTACCTGTTCTGGCCAAGTGGTTAGAATGTCGGCCCATGGACTGACGGGTGTCAGGTTCTGTTCAGGCCAAGGGCATGTACCTGGGCTGCAGGCTCAATCTCTGGTCCCAATCAGGGCATGTGCAGGAGGCAACCCATGAATGTGTGTCTCACTTTGGTGTTTCTCTCTCTCTCTGAAAAGCAATGGAAAAAATATCGTGATTAACAAAAAAAAATAATCCTATCTACCTCTACAAAAAAACACACACACTAACTTAGATTTTGGTGGGGACTGCATTAAATCTGTATTATCAATTTGGGGGGAATTAAAATTGTTGCCATGTTGCATCTCCCAGTCCATAAATACGGTTAATCTACCATTTATTTAAATCTTGTTTGATTTCATTCATCAGCGTCTTGTAGTTTTCGGCATACAAGTCCTTATGTGTTTTGTTAGGTTTACAACTAAGCATTTTATCTTTAGAAGCAATTGTAAATGGTACTTTGTTTTCATTTTTTATCCTTACTCGAGGATATGGGTTTTTTTAATCCTCACTTGAGGACATGCTTATTGATCGATGTGAGAGAAACATTGATCAGTTGCCTTCCGTTTGTGCCCTGACAAGGGCTAGGTATGTGCCGTGACCGGGAATTGAATCTATAACCTTCTGGTGTATGGGACAATGCTCCAACTAACTGAGCCACCTGGCCAGGGCGGTACTTCGTTTTTCATTGTGGTGTTCACATGGTCATTAATATGTAGAGATGGGTTTTTGTATGTTTATCTTATATCCTGAGATCTTGCTGAACTCTTAACTCTAGGTGGTTTTTTGTAGATTTCTTAGGATTTCCTACGTGAACCAGTGTGTTGTCTGCATGACAATGCTGGTACCTGGGTCCCACTCTGGGGACTCTGAGTTGTCTGGATATTAGGACTTTTATTATTTAAAAGTATCTTTATTGATTTCAGAGAGATGAAGGGAGAGAGAGAGAGACAGAGAGAAACATCAATGATGAGAGTCATTGATGGGCTGCTTCCTGCACACCCCCGACCGGGGATTGAGCCCGCAATCCAGGCATGTGCCCTGACCGGGAATCGAACTGCAATCTCCTGGGTCCTAGGTCGATGCTCAACTGCTGAGCCACGCCCGGCCAGGCGGACATTAGGACTTTTAAAATTTTTCGCAGCCAAGGCTGAGAACCACTGCTTTTTGAGCTTGTTCGCCCATGAGCAGAGATGCCTTGAGGGCCAAGTGCCCAGACTGCCCACTCTGCTCAAGGAGCCTATCTTGCTGTCTGGTGGGATGGTTAACAGGCTTGCGCTTGGCTGCTGAGGACGACAAGGCCCTGGGCCTAATGGCCTGGCCGCTTCTAGCCCAGAACACAGAACTAGACTGTGATGGATAACCAACCAGTTTTAATGAACACAAAATATTGATGCATATAAAAAAAGGTATTTTTGTCACTTAAGTGTCCCCATTTTCTGGATGGGGAGTCGTCTTCTCCGTGGACTAGAGCACCCATTTCTCCCATGGCCCCAGCATCTGGGTGAATGCTGGCTCTGTCCCCACAGGGCAGGGGCTGCCCATGGGAAGGGAAGGAGTGGGGCTCTAGTAAGCTTTTTCACATAGTAAGAATAGCCTTGGTCTTGGCCTGAGAAGGCCACCAATGAAAGAAAGAACTGCTGGGGAACAGTGTCTGCCAGGTGCCGTACGTGTGTGAAGGAGGCTAGCCTTAATCTCGGAGCCCGTCCCTCAGCCTGCAGCTCTCAGCTTAGGGCTGAGTGCATCAAGGTTCATTTCCTGGCATTCAAGGACCCAGCCCTGCCAGGAACACGTCTACACCAGCACAGCTTGGAGTGTAAAGGACACTGGAAGAGGAGGACCCATTTGGAGGGCATGTGTGAAGTTGGGTCCTAAATGTGCCACCAGTTAGCAATGGGGGCAGGAGCAGGTGTGCTCCTCTGTTTCCCTTCATGGGCAGTGCTCAGAGCCCCGTGGCGTCCTCAGAGGAGGCAGAAGGCAACAACTGCAGGTTACAGGTAAGAGCTCAAGCTCCAGTGCCAGGGTGGCATTAGCACCTGAGGCAAAGCAGGGTTGCGGGCCACTGCCTCAAAAGCTGAGTGGGCCACAAGCAACCCCAGCACCCAGGTACTTCACCTTTCCAAGGAGAGCTACCAACTGGCCACCTAGAGCAGCAGCCTTCAGACAGTGGCATGAGGCTTCTCTAAAGTAGCTCCAGCGCCTCAGTCTTAGGGCTTCTGTGCAATCCGGTTGGTACTGGACTTCTGCGGTGGAGCCTCAGACCTGCTGAGCAGCCCGTCCAGACCCCAAACCAGAGTCCCTAGGACCAGAGTTGTGCAGAGCCACTCCAGACGCTGACAGGGCTTCTGCTGACAGGAACAGAGTCACTGCTGTGAAATGCCTGCCTCTCTGGCCTGGAGGCAGCTGCCAGCTGTGCACTGAGTTACCACCCAACAGGAACCCCCCTTGGAAGGTAGGGGCATAAACAGTCTCCTCGACAGAGGCTCACTGGGCACCGGGGAAGTCTAGCACCAGCCCTGGGGAGGAGGCGGCTTAGCTTATGCACCATCCCGAGTGCCCAGCCTCTGCTGTCCCTTGTCTGGACCCGCCTGGGTTGTGCTTCAGCCCATCCTTGCTCAAGCCCAGCAGGGAGCAGCTCTTCACCTGGCTTGAAGCCAGGGAGCTGCTTCATCTACCTGCCGGCCCAGCTCTGAGCTGCTGCTCAGGACTGACAGGGCTGCCTGCCCTGGAGGCCTGAGGCATCAGGGCTGAGGTCAGAACCACAGGTGAGGGTGGGAGGAGAACAGGGTGGAATGGTGGCTGAGAAGTGCTGCAGGTCTGCTGCCATCAGCACCGACCACGAGGGTGCCCCATGTAGGCCTGCAGAGCCTCCCGGATGGCTCGCTGCCAGTCTCGGGCCAGCTGCACTGGGGTCGCTGAAGCCTGAGTACAAGGTTGCTGCATTAGTCCTTTCTCCTCTTAGTGGTCCGTGTCCCCC